TGTCACTTAGTTATGTGCATCCTGTCACCTTTTAAACTGCCCTGCCAATCATCGAGTCACAATTAAAATCCTCCACATTTAATTTATACCGTTTTGGAGAAAAATGTAGTAGCACGTTGATCTGCCAGTCATGGGTCTTTCATGCGGAGAACTCTCCTCATGTGTTTACAATTTGCATTATGATGCATTCAAAAGTTAATAACCAAACGTATCTGTACAAAAGTTCACAATGCTGTTGCAGATGAAATTTAATGCGGATAACAGTGAAAAATCTTTTCGTCATGTTAGATACTGATAATAAATCACTCAAACCCCTTTATCTAAACCTCTCTTCTTAGCCTCTGGACTCGCACGTCCGGCATGTTTGTAGTTTTTTTTTACATTTTTGATTTGTGGTTCTACTCAAATTCTCAACCATAGCTGTTAGAGTGTGCATGGATCTGCACTTCGGATTCTAACCGGAAAAAGTAGACAATCTGGTATCTTTGGTTATATACACTACGATTTGGGACACACTAATTCTAATTTCGATTACTATTAAGGATGGATGGTATGCGAATTGGGACGCAGCATGTAGCTCAATTTTAACTGAATGAGTACATAAATGCTTCTGTGTTTTCCAGGCATGAAGACAAAACATGCTCTACGGCATCATATGAAACTGCACAAGGGAATTAAAGAATATGAATGTAAAGAGTGTAACCGCAAATTTGCCCAGAAAGTCAACATGCTGAAGCATTACAAAAGACACACAGGTGAGTAGGATCACATCATACTGTAATGCTACATATGATACATATTACAAAAAATGTATTCAAAATATAATAATGTATTCCTTCAGGCACAAAGGACTTCATGTGTGAGCTGTGCGGGAAGACATTTAGTGAGAGAAACACAATGGAAACGCACAAGCTTATTCATACAGGTACAGTTCACTGAAATATTACAGAGTTTGGTTTAATTACACTAAAACAATCAAATATTTACTCTCATCTGTCTCGTTTTTGCAGTTGGAAAGACGTTTTCTTGCGCCGTCTGTGACAAGAAGTATGTGACGCAGTATATGCTGCAGAAACACATGCAGTTGACCCATGAGAAGGTGGAGGCTCAGAGCTGTCACCTGTGCGGCACCAAAGTCTCCACACGTGCCTCCATGAACCGCCACATGCGCCGCAAACACCCCGAGGTGAGAAACAACCACACACCTCCAGGGTTAATGACATTACTGATTCAAATATTCGTTTTTCTTTTGATATTGTCAATGATAATTAAGTTGAAAGACGAGATGAGAGACGAAAATGACAAATAATGATAATTCACTTAAAACACGATATGTAATATGACTAGAAAAAAGATATTATGTGATATTAATGATGCACTAACAATGACAGAAGAAATATGTTGACAAATGCATTTCTTTATACATTTTACACATTTAAATTACAACCCCAAATCAAGAAATGTTGGGACATCTCTTTATTTAACTAACTTTTTTAGAGTGTTTTGTAGCCATCGAAATTTGTTTATATTTACAAAATACAATTAAGCTGTTCAGTGAAAACATTGGGAATCTTTTCTTTGTACTTTTGTCAGTGAAATAAAGTTGAAAGAGAATGAACAAATCACAGATTCTGGATTTGATTCCATTTTAGAAAATGTCCCAACTTTTCTTGATTTGGGGTTTGTAAATAAATGTTTAAATAAATAAACTATACATTTTTCAAAAAGTTAATTTTTCAAGATAACTATCTATAAGTTTTCATCAAATAAATATTGTTTTTGCTGAGTAAATTACATGCTGTTTTAGTCAGAGTAAATTGGACGAAAATATAATTAACGAATTCATAAAAGTAAAAAATGAATGAACATGAAATCCCAAGATAGTGATTCATTTTAAAAGACCTTTTCATTTCATATTTACAGAGCCACGCACATGACATCCAGACAAACAATAATAATATTGTGGCCACGAATTAAGAATTCATTCCACAGCTTATTAATTTGTTCCTTTGTTATAGTAAATCGTGGCCACATTGAACTAATTTGCTCCCTCGTTTTGATTTAACTAAAACAATGGAACAAATTTTTACAACGTGGCCACGATTTACTAAATCGAGTGATCAAATTATTATATTGTGTGCATGATTTACTTAAAATGAGGGAACTATTTAATAAAACGTCCTGACGTAACTAACTATTTACTACTATACTAGTATTTGTGGACATGATATACATATTTTCTGTGTGGCTCTGTACATATTGCATTTTTTGATCACTCCTTTAAAATGTTTGAGCTTATGGAAAGCCATATGTCTAAGCTTCATATGATCTTTCAGATTGTGACTGTACGATTGGGTGACTTTGATCTTCAAGAACCATCAACAGTCGACGCCTCTACCATTAGTATTACACAGGTTTGTCTTTTAACAACCTGTATTGCATGATGATAGACAGAGAATGAAAATTAAAGGTGGATAGGGTAATTTTTTTTTAGTTATATTGTTGGTCTTTTTAATGCCTTTAATAGATAGGATAGCGTAGATGAGACAGGATGCAATGGGGTGGAGAACGAGGGGAACAGGACAGCCAGGACTCAAACTCTGGTCACCTGAAGCACATCTGCGCCATATGTCGGAGCGCTGCCCACAAGGCTATTGCTCTGACTTGTTTTTTTCATTATTTGGTTTCTGTTTGTTGTTCTCTCTGTTATTCAGCCCTCTCTGACTCTGGAGAAAGGCTCTCTCACTGTGGAAAAAGTCTCCAGGAACTCCAATCCCTCCAAGAAGAGGGCAAAATTCCTGCCTCACGAGTCTGAGCTGTCTGATTCAGACGAGTACGCTGACTTCACCAGCAGAACCACTGAGTTCTCGAACACCGTGGGAGATGAAACCAACTCTGCTGTGCAGAGCATTCAGCAGGTTTGTTCATTCAGAAATGATCTCTTAGCATTTCGCCGTTAAAGTCAACATGAAAACAAAATTGAGCATAATACTTCGAAGTTTGGGGTCAGTAAGATTTTTTAAATGAAATTAAACAAGGAAGCATTAAATTGATCAAAAGGACATTTATAATGTTACAAAAGATTTGTATTTTAAATAAATGCTGTTCTTTTCATCAAAGAATCCTGAAAGAAAATGCTGCAAATTCAGCTTTGCCATCACAGGAATAAATTACATTTTAAAATATATTCAAATTGTTAAAAATATTTCACAATATTCCTGTTTTTAATGTATCACTAAAATCAATTATTTAAAATTCTAAAAGTGAATTTAGGCATCGCTACATTATAATGTACAGAATGAAAATGGATATTCATTTCTTAAAGATTACATTTAAATGTGTTGTTAAATTATTAGTGTATTTAAAGATCAATTACATGTGAGTTTTACACAAAAGTAAAGGTTATCTAAATGTAAAAATAGAGAAAATGAGCATAGCCAAATAAATATCCAATATCAACCAATACTGATACATTTAAAAGCTCTAACATTGTCTGATAACCAAGATGGTACTAATATGTACGGTACAGTATCCCTAGATCCAATCAATTCCTGATGGATAAAATCAAAACAAAAATGTATTGTCGAATATTTTGTTTCACTCAGAATCAGAATGGGTAGCGAATGCCATTTCATGGACTTTTAAAACCAACAGATATTTCAATTTGGTTGTGCATTTGAGTTTTTAGATATTGCTTCATTTAATTATAATGAATAATCTCCTCCGTCAAATGTACACACGCAGGTGGTAGTGTTGGCTGACCCCAGCGCCCCTCCAGCCCCCTCCAGCTCGGTCAGTTTAACCAACATCACTGTGACTCCCATCACCACACCCGCTCCCGCCCAGTTCAGCAGCCTCCAGCCTGTCGCCGTCAGCCACCTCGCTCCGAGCGATCGGTCCCTCACCCTGGACAGCTCCATCCTCACCGTGACCTTCGATGCCGTCAGCGGTTCAGCCATGCTGCACAACCGTCCAGCAGATCTCCAGTCAGAGGCGGTGGGATCCACGGGGGCCGCGGCTCCGCAATCAGTGGCACATTTCATCAACCTCACCACCTTCGTCAACCCCATCTCCCACCAGCTGGAACAGCCCGCTTTAACCTGGAGGCCCGTCGCACCGGCCGATGGAGATCATGGCACCACCATAGATGACACCCAGACGGATGTTCAGTCCGCTCAGGCACCGTCAGAACAGCCACAACCACTGCCAGAACAAAGGCATCAGATTCAGCCGCAAGTCACAGGACCTCCTCAACAACAGACCACTGCAGCACCACAGATGTTCAGCTACTGAGAAATCAAGTATATGATGTAATTTATAGCTACGGTCCCTTTTCAAGATTTGGACCAATATGAGGAAAGGATTTGTTATTAATTGAGCACTTCTCTTTGTTGAAAGTATGACTGTGACTTTAAGGGCAGCACAAGCCTTTTGTTGGAATTGATGAAAAACCAGAGGACAATTTCAACCAATTATTAAGATGCTGAAGATTATTATTATTTTTCTTATGAATGCATGAAACGTCTGGTGATGATTTAAGAAAAAGCGAGGACCTTAGTTTTTCAAAATGATAACTAAAATTATATTTGTTGTTTGATGTCATTCTGTAGCACCTGTGGAGTGATGATGTCAAAAAGAATGAATCTATAGAAATGCAATACATGGATATAGTGTATTGTGAGTGCTAACTGGAAATATTTTCTATTTTTTTCTTTCCTTTTTTAGGAAAAATGAGTTGTCCTAATAAATGCATGTATGGACTTGTCTCAAATGTGTGAATATCCACCAATGACTTTAAATTAAAAAATCTCTAATATCGTCCAATAACAGATACCAGTATGTAGTGTATCCCTAGATGTATCCCTAAAATCAAATCATATTTTGTTAATCATTCTTTGGATCATTTTGGTGTAAACGGGTCATTTGTAAATTTCTGCTGAGACTCCAAACCATTAGGGGCGCTAACAGCTCGAACTTTTCATTCGCTCACCAACGAAAGAGTCTCGCGGCTGCGCGGTGGTGAACTGTGAAGAGATATTTAGCACTTGATTACGTGTAGTGTAATTCATTCTTTGAGATAACAGACCCCTTTTGAGTTTTCGTTTCATACACGTAATTTATATAATACGTTTTGCAATTTTCAAAACAAGTAAAGGGACTGCCGTGCTGCCCCGAGAAGTTTGATCCATTAGGATAGTCAATGAAGATCACTCTAATGTGTTGCAGCATTCAAGCTGCCAGCGTGAAGTGGAACTAAGTGCGACTCAAGTTACAGAGAAGAGAGACAGACAGATCTGCTTCTATACAGCCTGCTTGTTTGTGTCAGGGGTGATAACGTGGCACAAATCTAGCCAAGATGGAGTTTGCAGCGATCTTTGCACTGTCAGTACTGATAGGTGCACTGGTTTTGTTAGTGGTCGTGGCTGTTGGTAGACAGAAAGGTGAATTATCTGAGCAAAACGAACAGAAGAAAGACACCGATGCACCGGGTAAGTGTGTCTGTGTCCCTCTTCTATCTTGCCAGCAACTTTAGTTTTGAAGTTGATTTTTTTTACTAACATAACGATGTTGTAAGTTCGTTTCAAAGACATAGTTTAGGTTGGAAAGTAGTTTATTTTGATGCTATGTAACTGGATAATATTACAGTGGAGGAAAATGCAACGAAAGCTCCTTCTAAAAAGCAGAAGCAGCAACAGCGCCCCCGTAAGGAGAGACCGCAGCAGCACACATTCTCACACCAGCTACTGGCTTCCTCTCTCAAGGTATTTCGTGATCAAATCTAAGATATAGTAAACACATGACGTCATTTGCTGGCAAAGCATGTCAAGGGCAACCAGTAGAAGACCAGAATGGCAAATAAATTAATGGTTTTAATTCAGCAAGGATGCATCAAAATGAAAAATGTTACAAAACATTTAGTTTTTTTAAGTTTCTACCCATCAAACAATTCTGAAAGAACGTATGACTCTTTCCACAAAAATATTAAGCAGCACATATGCTTTCAACATTGATAATAATGTTATAATAATATAACATTGTTATAATAATAATAATTAATTGTAATGATATTATATTGTCTTATTTTAAATGTCAAGATTGCAAACTGTCTTTAGGTGCATGTCAAAGTCCTGTATATTGATCTGTATTTCTGTGCATTCATTCCCCCCTTCTAGAGTCACAGTGGCAATGTGACCTGCCTGGATTTTAGTAGCAATGCCAAATACCTTGCATCTTCCTCAGATGACCGTACCATCCGAATTTGGAGCACTAAAGACTTCCTTGACCGAGATCACAAGTGCTTGCGAGCCAACATTGAGTTTGACCACGCCACACTCGTCCGCTTCAGCCCAGACAGTCGGTACGTTTGGCCTCATTAACACGCCCCAATTTATGTCATTAACATATTTTGTCATGTTAAATCTACAAGTTTTCTGATACTCTTTTAAACAGTTATTACTGCTGACTGGTTGGTTTTTGTCCTTAGAGCGTTTATCACTTGGCTGTCTAATGGAGAGACCATTCGAATCTATAAGATGATTAAAAAAGATGATGGGACATTCAATTTCAAAGCTGCTGCGGGGGATTTCCCTCAGAAACACAAGGGGATCATTATCAACATCGGAATCGCTGAGACAGGTCAGTGGACTCCATTAATTAAATCCATCTGAACTGTATTAAATGTCATATACATATGCTAAGCAAGCTTGCATAAGACTTAATTACTAATTTTAGATTCTGTTTTCAGGCAAATTTATCATGTCTGCCTCTGTTGACACCACCATTGTGATCTGGGATCTGAAAGGAGAGGTTTTAGCTACTATCAACACTAATCAGATGACCAACTCACATGCTGCTGTGTCACCGTGTGGACGGTTAGTTCAAGAAGTAATACAAGCAGCTCCTCTGGGAATTAGAAATGTTTTCCTTATGTACAAGTGTTTTTGGGTCAAATATATATTTAATATAGTTAAACAAATGTGTTACATGTAATAACGTTTGTGTAATAATGAAACCCTCTTTGCAAAATCTGCATCACATCACTGTGTCAATAGTATTAAATAATATGGATCTGTAATGCAAATGAAATAGATTTAAAATCTCTATTTATTTATTTTAATATTTCTTCTCATAAGGTTTGTTGCTTCGTGTGGCTTTACCCCTGATGTGAAGGTGTGGGAGGTTTGCTTTGGTAAATCAGGGGAGTTCAAAGAGGTCACTCGTGCATTTGACCTTAAGGGACACTCAGCTGGAGTTTACTCCTTTGATTTCTCAAATGACTCTCGAAGGCAAGATCATCTCTCTCTCTCTCTCTCTCTCTCTCTCTCTCTCTCTCTCTCTCTCTCTCTCTCTCTCTCTCTCTCTCTCTCTCTCTCTCTCTCTCTCTCTCTCTCTCTCTCTCTCTCTCTCTCTCTCTCTCTCTCTCTCTCTCTCTCTCTCTCTCTCTCTCTCTCTCTCTCTCTCTCTCTCTCCCTCTCTCTCCCTCTCCCTCCCTCCCTCTATATGTGTGTATATATATATATATATGTTAAAATCTTTTTTTTTTTAATCAGTGTTTAGTATTATTCATATACTAGTATATTATTCACATTTTGAATTGGCTTTTATTTTTATATTTTCAGTTTTCATTTAAAATGTTTTTTAGCTTAAAGTCCCCCCGGTAGGTATCTGTAGTTATCCCTTAAAACTCATCTTTGATCACCAAAATGACATATTTAAACGTTTTCTCCTGTGGATTTTTTTATTCATGCCTTAAAATAGCTTGAATGTAACTCTACACCCTTGCTTCGTTTAGTATAAGTGGATCTATGAATATGCAAATTAGTCCCCACCTCCACTCATTCAAACCAGCTCAGAGATCCACTAGGTCAACTTTAGTAAACGCTGTACAATGACAAGTGTTTATGCCATATATGTTTGAACCAGAAACGGATTCAGAAGAAGAAGTGAAAGAGTGAATTATACAAGCTTGTCTACATGTCGATGTATCAGAATGGTAACACGTTTTATGTATTGCTCTCTAAAACGACGGACACAAAACAGTGATTAATATGATTAGCCTTTGGCTTGACTAGGTTATCAAACAGCTAATAATGTGTTGCTAATGTTACACAAACCATGTTCCCGTTCGCATCTTAGAGTCAGACGGCTGCCTTCTAACAATCAGTATCCTTAGAAACGCTTTGAACAACTCAGAACGTCAGAGGAGAAAGGCATTTAGTTCATCATAACATCGAAATATATATCATATACATAATTCACCCGTTATATTGCTAAATATTCCCAATTTTTCATACCAACAGAAAAATAAACCGGGATAACCTCACTTCTCTTGAGACTCCCCTGCTTCAGAGTTAATGAAATGCTATAGCCCGCCAGCACGTTGACGTGATTGGTTATAAGGTAGTTTGTGATGTCAGAAACACCAGCGATTTAAAACCGCGTCTTTTTTTCACTGCAGTTTTCAGGAGAAAATACTCCGGAATGGTGTTGACTTATGAATTTGCACATGGTTTGTCTTAAAGGGATACTCCACCCAAAAATGACAATTCTGTCATCATTTACTCACCCTCAAGTTGTTGCAAACCTGTATGAGTTTCGTTCTTCTGCTGAACACAAAGGAAGATATTTTGAAGAACGATTGGAACCAAACAGTTGTTTGGCACCATTGACTTCCATAGTAGAAAAAAAAAATACAATGGAAGTCAATGGTGCCAAAGGTCCAATCGTTCTTCAACATATCTTCCTTTGTGTTCAGCAGAAGAAAGAAACTCATACAGGTTTGCAACAACTTGAGGGTGAGTAAATGATGACAGAATTTTCATTTTTGGGTGGACTATCCCTTTAAAGCATATTAAAAACACCACATAGACAAATAAACAACATTAAAAACTGGATTTTCACCACAGGGGGTCTGTAAATTTTAGTTTTAGCAATTTTAGTACTTCAACTTAAGTTTGTTACCAAGGCCACATTTCTAATATTTTAGTTTTTCATCTAATATATATATATATATATATATATATATATATATATATATATATATATTATCATCATAGCTTTATTTCAATTAACAAAATAAATTGTAATACTTTTAGTTAACAATAACAACACTTATAAATTAGAACATAGACATTTAATAACATGTTTGAATACTGTTAACAATTTTGTTCCTTGAGCCTGAACAGTGTAGAAAGTTTAATTATATAGTTTTCATTGAGTTTAAAATCCTCACGGTCAAATTTAACTATAAATCGATAGCTACAACTAATAACATTTCACTACCTTTTACAGAATGGTGACTGTGTCCAAAGACGGCACATGGAAGCTGTGGGACACTGATGTGGAGTATAAGAAAAAGCAGGACCCATATTTGCTCCGGACCGTGCCATGTCAGGTGTCGGAGGGAAGCCGCATTGCACTGTCACCCGACGGTCGTGTAGTAGCCATATCAAACGGCTGTGATATAGCCTTATACAGTGCTACCACTGGTGAACTAGAGGAGGAGTTCCACGGTGTTCACAGCGAACAAATAGCCGACCTTAAGTTTGACATCAACAGCCGTTTCCTAGTCAGTACTGGGGACCGTGCCATTCGCGTCTTTCACAATGTAACCGGGTACCGCGCTGCCATCCAGGACATGGAGACCATGCTGAAGAAAACTACAAATGATGGAGTAAGACAAAGACTCCAGCAGCAGATATCAGATGCTCAGAGCGCTCTGGAAACAGTGCTGAATGCAACAAAGAACTAAAGGCTGATTTGTTTTCACTGGGAAGCAAGTCTGTTTTCGGTTTCAGAAATAAGTGACTTTAGCATGATGATTTTATTGAATAAATCAAATGTTTTTAAGTGTTTGTAAATGACTTTTGTTCCTTTTCCACTACATTTTCTTCCGTATTTTTGAGGCTTTAAAGGTGACATGTTTACACTTTTCAGGAGAAATATACTGTTCTACAAAGGCAACAAGCTGTAATACTGAAACGAAAATATTTTTGATTGATTTGATTATTTTCATCCTCATTTCTCTAAATGAGCATAGCTAGCTGTCTGTCTGTCAAAGGGCAGATTATCTCATACCTCAAATTTGACTAAATGTAGTCACTGTGTTTTGCCTTTGAACTGCTTTATATTTGACTTTTTATAATTTTGCCTACTTGCGTTTCTCTGCATATTGAACAGGGATAGGAATATTTTAGAATCAAAGAATTGTAATACAGCACTTTTTAAGGAACTTGTCAGCAGCGAAGTTTTGTAAGAATTAAATCATTAAACGGTATATTTAAATCATTTTAAAATAATGAATAGAAATAATAAACTGTTAACTTTTTATTAAATGTTATTAACTGTTAAGAATTACAAATTTTAATATCTTAATTCAGCTATAAAAAAAACAGCCCCTGAAGACTTTTATTTTGAAAGGTACTATAACTATTAAAAGTTAAATTAAAGCATTTAGGTTATAAACAAGTATAATCCTTAAAAGATGATTTGGCCATTCGGTCGTTGACTGGATATGATTATAATGACTATAATAAAGTTAATAATAAAATGTAAAAAAAAAAAAAAAAACAGCAGCCACCTGTGCCCTCTCTGTAAGTAGGTGGGACCTGTCAAGAAGCTCTGGAAAGTAGAGTATGAGTTCTCGCGATGCGAGATTTGTGCAGCCAGACTGCGAGACCGACACGATTCCAGTAAGAGTACCGATAAAATTCAGAAATGTCGGGTCGTTCGGTCCGCGCAGAGACCCGAAGCCGCGCTAAAGATGACATTAAGAAAGTGATGGCCGCCATCGAGAAAGTACGGAGATGGTGAGTATAACGGGCGGCGTCAAGACACTTTGAAAGAGAGAAATGTTTTTCAAAAGAGAAACTTCAGTCGGAAAGGAGGAGGAGTTTCATAAGAGGATGCTGTTTGATTGACACAAGAGACAGCCAATGTCAGCGCACTTGTCTTTATTTTCTGAAGGGACAAGTGGCAAAAAGAGGCGGGACTTAAGAGGTTTTTAAAGGGTTTCTTCATATGATGAAAAAGTGTAGTATGTAGGGACTGTCAGTAACCTGATTTTTTTTTTTACTAGTTTATATAATCTATTATACATTTACTGTGCAAAAGAGTAATCCAAGCACTGAAGCACACCCAGTAAGGCTTTAGCCCAACAAAACGAAGCACTTTTGTTATTGAAATAAATGGGGATATTTGATAGGGCTCATCTCATTAACAAATGGACCTTGTAATCCCATGTCCCAAAAAAATAGCTTTTAGATGAGCCAAAACTTTCTCCATCTGGAAACTTGATAAGTGCTTTATTTCTGCATGGTTGCGTTTTTAACATGGAAACTTGATAGAGCTTTTCAAGTCATGTATATAGGAAACCTGTTACACAATTGCTCCATTTCAGGGAGAAGAAATGGGTCACAGTTGGTGATACATCATTAAGAATATTTAAATGGGTTCCTGTGGTGGACTCAAAGGAGGTACGACACATCTTAGATGTTCTTTTCTCTTTGTTTTAATTGTACCTTCATGTCATCTGGATAAGCTAAATGCATGTACAAAAATATGTTGTTTCCATTTCATACATATAGATCAAAATAATCTGTACATATTATCTTAAACTCCACAGTATTTACTGTATCTGTAACCCGATGTCTTTTAGAAGGACAAAAGCAAAGTGTCTGTGGGTGGAGAAATGCAACGGAAGAATTTTCCCACTGAGGAGGCATCTGATAACGCCTGTTCTGTACTATTAGATTTTCAAGGTAAACAGATGCAAGTTTTAAAGGGTTAATTCACCCCAAAATGACAATTCTATCATTGTTTGCTCACCCTCATGTTGTTCCAAACCCATATGATTTTTTCTTTCATGTCAAATTCAAATCTTCTCTTGGTTGCCTCCTGCCTTCTCAGATGACAACAGCAACCAGAGTTCTCTCGACTCATACCAGCATAAAATAGCTGCAGACAGCAGCAATAACTCCAGTCTACCGCCCAGTGAGCCGGTCAGTCCTGCACCTCAGAGTCTAGACTATCATACAGATGACCCACAGCCGCCCACCCTCGGCCAGGAAATCATGGAAGGTGAGACTCATAGCTTGCATTTTTGATTAAGTTTAATGTTGAGAGATTCATTATATTATATTATATTACTTTGTAATTTTCTTTTATACAAATTCATATTATCTTTTTATATTTAAATGTTCGTTTAATGTTAATCTCTGAGAGATTCATTACTCATTATATTATTAATAAATAAATTACACATTTTCAAAGGTATATTCAGTGTTTCATAAACCCTGAAGCTTTTATAAACCTTGCTTAAATATTTAGATTCCACTGTAAGTTGTTTTCCCTCTTTGTGTCATGCTGATTTGTTCTGAGCAAATGTGTTGCGCTCTTATCTCTTAAAAATACAAAGTTCACTGAGATCTTTTAGTCAGTTGACCCACTTTTAAAAATGCTAACTTTTTTTTTTCTAGAACCGCTGCTGCAGTCGAGTGAGATTGCAGATGAGCCGCCAACACTGATCAAAGAAGATCTTCTTCCTCTCACTGCTCAGGTACAAAACAAAACTAGCCAGAGTTTGATAATAAAGCATGACTGCAAGGACAGTTCTTCTGCTGGGCCTTGCTTGCCTTCAAATTCAATTTTTTTTTCTTTCTTTTTTTAGGTTTTATTCTCAACGCAACAACTTTCTGTGTCAGCTAGTAATTGTTCCTTTTTCTCCAGGTGCAGGAGGATGAGGACAGTTGTGGAGCCCCACCACTAAAAAGAATTTGTACCGAGCAGGTCTCGGTCATCCAGGCAGCCCCTCTGAGCTAACACACACACACACACACACACACACACACACACACACACTGCACACTGGGCATTGATAATCAGCCAGACTGATCACTGAAGAACTGCTGCAAAAGACACAATATGGACCAGACATCGAGAAAGCACTATATTTATTATCGCATGGAATAGCTTTGCAACATTTAAGATTTACAAATCTTGGCCTTCCCTTTTTAACTCTTGTTCCCAGAACATACAGAATATGTTTCAATTCTGGTCATGTTGTAATTATTGTTCATTTCTGAAGATCTCGCAGTAGAATTCGGATGGGACATAAATGAAGCATTATTTCAAGGTTAATAAGCCAAAATCAAAAGAAGCCAGACTATTAACTGGACATTCCTGTTTACCGGGAGAGCAGATGAATGTACTCTCACTTTAAAGCCCTTCTTGTTGATTGCTGTTACAGTTATTATAATGATAATAGTTTTATTTTATAGTCAGTGGAATGTGATGCTTGATAAAAAAGAAAGCCATAAAATAATTTCATGTTGACTGAAGGCTTAGCCATTATTGAAGAAAATGTATTTCAAAACAAAGACAAATAGTGAGTTAAATAACAAGGGTACTTGAAATATAATTGAATACATCACACTTTATGCACAAATAATCTCATTAGACCACGCCATTCTCTTTTAATAAATACAATGACTTAACATGCAGAAGGTCTTCAATCAAATTCTGTGAGTTTACATGCAGATTGAAATTAATGTTTAAGCTATGATTCAAAATGTGTCAATAATATCTAGATTTTCTGTTTGTAGATTCTGGTCTCAGGGTCTCTTAGTGCCTCCAACTGTTAAAGAATCCCCCTTCCAGCTCTCTTTTTTTTTTTTCATTAATTGAACATTTACTCATTTGTCTCAATGTAACACATACATTGAAATAAGTTATTATTTAGTATGTTGGTATTATTCATCAAATTTTATAGGAATGGTATTTGTATAGTGGGCACATTGAGGTTGATGAAGCAGCCATATTGTTATTTGAAGCAAATATTATTAAAATATTAGACATTCATTTCAAGAAACTTCAGTTTTGTCATTATTTTTTCAAAACAATAACAAAATACACAACTGTTCAAAAGTTTGGGATCACTAAGATTTTCCTTTTAAAAGGAAATCAGTACTTTTATTCAGCAAGGATGCATTAAATTGATCAAAATATGCAGTAAAGACATTTACAATGTAAAAAAAAGATTTGTATTTCAAATAAATGCTGTTCTTGTGAACTTTCTGCTCATCAAAGAATCCTAAAAAAAAAGTTTTCAACTTTGATAATTATAAAAAAATGTTTCTTGAGCATCAAATCATCATATTAGAATGATTTCTGAAAGATCATGTGACTGAAGACTGGCGTAATGATGCTGAAAAAACAGCTTTGCGTCACAGGAATAAATTACATTTTAAAATATATGTAAATAGAAAAGTTATTTTAAATTGAAATAATGTTTCACAGTATTACTGTTTTTACTGTATTTTCAGCCTTGGTGGGCATACGAGACTTCTTTGAAACACATTACAAAAATCTTTAAAAGAAAAGATTTAGTGTAGGAGATTCAATATTTGTGGTATTAAAAAGTGGTTGACCAGCGGGTGGCGCTAAAGCCCCATTACCCATTTTAAATCAGAACTATTGATTATTATTTTTGCCCATCAGTTTTATTATTATTATTATTTATTTACGTATCAGCATTGTATTTAATAATGAAATATCTATCTATCTTATGTTTGTCCTCTAGTTGTTTTCTCTGCATTTCTTTATACATTATTATACAGTACCTTAATTCATACCTAGACGGCGTTTTGGATGTCACAAACGCCTGCAGCATTTTTTGGCCACGCTATCGATGATGTAGTAGATACTAGATAGTCAGCCAAATATGTTATGAGACAGCCAGTGTTTTACTCCAGAAGACCGGATAGCATTTTGACTGTCTCTCCTCCGTCAGGTCTCTCAATAACTCACTCAGGCGTTTAACACAACTTGTCTGAGCAGGACAACATCAGATAAAGCGCAGGGAATAAGCGAAGAGTTGTAAGACGTCGGACCATGCGTGAGGGATTTTGGAAACTTCTTTGTATTTTCATGTTGTCGTTTCGTCCTTTTAAAGCCTCAGCAGCTATTTATCAGGTTCCAGTGAGACTGCAACGCACAGTGTCCGAACACAACACTGGAGCAAACACATTTAACAGGTAAACTCTGTGACTTCATGTGCTCGATGTAACATTAGAGAAAGAGATTTACTAACCAGCTGGAGCATCACTGGGTTATCAAACTGATTGATTTAAAGCCTTAGTATATTGCAGGATGATGGATTAAGGTCAATGAACTCGAGTTATAACAGTCAAGCTTTAATAAACTTAAATTAGTCGAGCATTTCTATTATTATCTAATCGAACAATATTTTACTTTTTAAAAATAGTATTCACAACTGTTTATGTGGCTTACAACTTTTCTGGATATATATGTAATGTGTACATATAAATACATTTTTGAAGCTAAATAACCTAGGCCTACACTGAAAAAAACTGGTGTAGGATTTATTTTGAAACCGCTTTCACTCAGAAAATGCTAGTATTTCATAAATAATTACAAAGAAACATTGAATTAAACATGAAAATTTCAAGTAGAAAGACTGAAATTGTAAATTATTGTAAAACGTACTTCAATAATCAGTGTTTTATTTACTACTTTGAAAAATCATTTTACAGTGTACATCTATCTATCTATCTATCTATCTATCTATCTATCTATCTATCTATCTATCTGTCTGTCTGTCTGTCTATCATCTGTCTGTCTATCTTCTATCTGTTCTGTCATTATGTTTGTTGTTCTCTATCTATCTATCTATCTATCTATCTATCTATCTATCTATCTATCTATCTATCTATCTATCTATCTATCCTAAACACATCTGTGAAGGCTCATGTGGACCCCTGATTGCATTCCCAGAAAAAGCACAAACCAAATCAAAGCCAAAAGTATTTATCTTAAAAATCTTTATCCCAACAGATGTGGCAAAATATTTTGTGGCTTGACATGCGGTTGAGGTTGAGCTCTTTAGTCTAGACGTGTAGAGCTTCATGTGTGTCTGTAGTCCGATCACGACTCATCACAATCTGTCCTGTGAAACAACGAAGAACAATGACATGAAAGACAAAACGGTCACAATCCTGGGATATTTTGAATCACCCGAGACATATCAGAAAGGAAGTTTTCCCGATTTTTTTGTTTTAGTTCTTTTCAAGAACAGATGACAGACACTTCTGGGTGTTAAATGAATGTCGGGAGAGAATAAATCATTCAGTCTCCTCCCATGGTAAAGGAAAAAAGATATGCTTGTGCCACTGAGAGGTTCTCTCTGAGGACCCTCGGTCCACTATGCTGTATTTCATTTCGCTTTTGAAGTGAAGGAGCTTCATGAAGAAACATTATGGCACTAAAACTACTGAAGTCACATGCTTGTTTGTTTTGCAATGCCATATGAGTTTTGTGAAAAGGAATTTTAGGAACACATTTATCACTCTCTACCTAATGCTCTAAATTTCCATGATTTCATTGGCATTCATTTCTCCATGATTTGTTTTTTCTATTCGATATTTGACATTGCTGGATACTGATTGGTCTGGTCTTTGTCATTATTACTGTTTATTCATCATGGAACGAATAAGGAATCGGTGCCAGTACACAGTACAGAAGACAGTTTCATGTCAGACACAAAATGGGACAGAGACTGTTGTGCAGCGACTGTTTCAGAGTTGCCGATGGCCTGGACCGTGTGCAAACCTCATCAGGTACAGATAAAAGAAATGATCTCATGGTATAAACTGGATTATACTCTACTATTCACTCTCACATTCACTAACAGACTCTGTGTATGCTTTGCTTCTCTGTATTTTCCCAGCTACAGAACTCTGGTGAGACCTGTGTACAGAGTGACCTACAGGAAAATCACTTCTCTGGAATGGCGATGCTGTCCGGGATTCCATGGGGAAGACTGCAGAGAGGGTGAGGGAGATCATTTCTCACCAATCTCAAGTTCACTGATGTATTGCTGAAGCATTTGAATGTCTGTGAGAGAAAAGAATTGTTAGCTGTTAGATGACATTTATTAGTTGTGCCAAGAAAATCGTAACATTATCACAGAGATTTTGTGGTTGGACTCTTTTGATTTGTGTAAGCAAGCAACCACATTGAAACCACCCAGAGGACCCAAGCATCGAGCAAGAGTTTTGCACGGGCAAACACCACTTACACTTGGCTTGGTGTGTCTTAGTGGGTGGTTCTTTTTCAAATTTAAGTCTCTTAGCAACAAGGAGAGATCCCTTACATTCAGTTTGTGGGTGCTAATGTGAATGACAACAGCTGGTCTGACTGTGGGAATCAATCATCTGTTAGAAAAAGGGAATGTGTCAATCATTTTTCCGCTGAACGTATTTCCCCTCTCTCTATATGAGCACCACACACTTCAGTGCAAAAAATTCTAATACTGGCATATATTAACCTGGAGAAAATCCATTTTGGATTGGCCATGTCACAAAGTATGCTCAGATTTGCCATGACACAAAAATCTGCAATCAAAAGTCAATATGTCTCAATATGAATATTTCTTATATTGTTCCAAGACTAAATTATCTGTACATCTGATGTGATTCTATTTGTATTTATCCTAAGGAATTTTAGGAGGAGTATCTGAGACAAGTTCTTTGGAAGTCTACTAAAATATTAGAGCCAATGCATCCTTTTCTTAACTTTTTGTGGGTATAAACACAAATATCTGTATGTATTTTACCTGGTAACCCTGTCTAATGTCAATGTCATGTCATATTGGTACAGTTACACTCCTTACACACTTTACTCCTAGAGAGATAATCATAATCAAAACCAGCACAGCTCTGGGTCTTTGCATATATGGGTAAATACATTTGAATTAAACTAAAATAAATAGCTGGAAGAAAATATTTTGAATTAAGGAAATGAGTCAATGCTTTTGATTCATTTTAATTGATTTGACACAGCACATTTAGATGTGGTAGAGGTCACAAGAGTCCAAATAGTTTTGACCCAATAAGGATAATTGACCCATGACACACATTCCCATGTTTTTCTGGATGCTGGTTTAATGAACCTCCTTCCCCCCACAGCAGACACACTGGCCCGTCTGCGGTGTCTCTTTTCAGATCATCCCCTGTGAGATGTGGATGATTTAGTTTGGGTCAAATCCAAGGGCGCCACGATCTCTGACATGTAAATAAATCAGAAATCTTCATTCCCCATCCCTTTCTCCTTTCTCCTTCCTCCTCCCTTTTATTCCTCTCCATTGGGCTCATAGCTTCAGCCTGAGGCTGTCAATCCCCTGGGTCTCAGGCCCCTCTGTGTTTGGTTTATTTAAGAACTTATTTTTGGACTTTGGATTGTGACTCGTAGTCAAACAGCTCAAGTTAGGTCAAAGTCAGTCGTGTGAAATCCCAACATTTCCATTTATTGTGTGTAATGAGGCCTAAAGAAGAATGCTGTGTCTGATTTCAGTCATTAAAAATCTTTTTTACATTTCCGGGTTTGGAACTTGGTTAAACCAATCAAGGTGAACTTGTACATGGGTCGATGATCATTGCAAATAGAGCCATTATAATTATTTTATTGCATTCCCATTTCCTCCAACAGCAGCTGTATTAGAAACCCCATATTTTAATGCAAGGGTAAAATAACACTTAGTTCAGTGTTATAAATGTACTCTTCTTAAAGAAAAGTTTGTGGAAAGGGTGCTTTATCTATTACGAGGCTCTAAATGACTCTAAATTTTAAAACATGAGACACATGAATCAAATTCAATGGGAAATATGTAATGGGAAAATAATGCAAGGAATAGACCCAAGCTCACAGCCATCTTTAGAATTTTGTTTTTGTGATAGCTCTGTATATTTCTATTGCATTGCTGTCAAAGAGTAATTAGCTGGTGAAGAAGTGGATTTACTTATTGTAGAGTTAACTGAAGTTATCATGAAGCGAATGTCAACAAATGTCTCTAGACCGGGAAGATTTTAAAACCAGCCGTCCATTGCAGTGGAATGCAAATGAAAAACGTAGAATGCATTGAAAATGTAAAGATGCGGGCAGTGGAATGGAAAAAAATTGGAGGTCTCAAGACACATTTTTTTAAAAGTTGAACTTCTAACTTGAGCATGAGTTTTCTGAACGCAGTGGCATGCAAAAGACACAAGACACGAATGGTCAAACACATCCATCTAGGGCATATTTACATAGAAAAACAATGGACGTGCAGCGCAGAACGGCTTCTGTGTGAACGGCCAAATAGAATACTTAATTCTAATTGTTCTTCCCAGTCATCCACTGAAACTGGTGTCTCTCGTGTCACACCACAGACTCACAGTTTTTTGTTTTATGATGTACATTTCATGTCCATGTATTTATCCATTCGGAGAACTATTTACTAGCAAGCTGTTGTCATCAGGCAGGATTCAGACCTTGGTTGTAGGAACTAGCCAAATGTAAGAGTGAACAATCCAGCTATATATATATATAAACAGAATTGCAATCAGAAACTTGAAACTGATTCATTCTCCCCTGGAGTTGTGCTTTAGATGTTTATTCATATCACTTTGACAGTTATTGAGAATTGTGTGACTATCTGTGGTCATGTTGAACCACATTAATGATGTTTAGTCCTTCAGGAATGTACAGTGTCGAAAATTCATGTGCCTTGTATTAAAAGATACCAGTGTGATGAAGTTGTTTGTTCATTAATGCAGTGCAGACAAAGAAATCTTTTCCATCCATCAGATTAGTCAGCAAAATGCTGGACTTTTTGTTGCTGCCCCTCCCTCGGTTAGTTTTGTTTTGTTCTTTAATGGATTCCTTGTATATTGGGGCCAGTTCTTCTCTTGATCTCGTTAAATTTCCATATTAGTATGTCAAAGACTTGGGTATTCTGATCAATTGTGTTTAACTATGTGAAAAGTATAGCTTCATGTTTGACTAAGAATGAGTAGACATCAAGGAATGCTAGAGTGCAAAGCTGTTGAGGTGTGGGAGGATGGTTGCAGCTGGGATCGACAGCTGTAAGAGATCCTTTGTCCTGTAACGGTATTCCAATTGTCACTAGAGAGGAACTAGATAGCATGCAACACATCAAAAACCTACTGTTATGTTTTTGTATTTGATGTAAAAAATGTAATTGATATCTCCCAATTCAGAGGTTTTTGAGCTTTTTGTGATATACACTAACAATCAAAAGTTTCTTGATCTCTAAATCTTCAGAAATCGTTCTAATATGCTGGTTCACGTGTCACTTAATACTATATTGCTGAAAATGTAGCTTTATCATCAGGGAAATATATTAGAATAGAAAACAGCTTTTTAAAATTGTATTAATATTTCACAGTATTACTGTTTTAATCAAATAAATGCCTTTTTGATCAAATAAGAGCCTTGGTGAGCATTAAAAACTTCATAAAATTGTAGACTTTTGAAACATAAAAGACTTTTAAAAAACGACCCTAAACTTTTGAATGGTAGTGTAGAAATACAAAATCTTTCCAAAAACTGACTAACTACTAAAAAACAAATCAAATTATTATCTGGGAAATTTTTACTTTGATTTGCATAATACAGCTTTAGACATTGTATGTTTTTCTTCCCACTGTTAGAGTAAAGATAGATTACCTGAGGATCAATAAATACTATAAGCATATTACAATTTATTTTTAGCATATTTAATCTTAATTTAACATATAACTTCAACAGCTCAAAAAATACATTTAGCAAAATGCTTGCTTGTCTCCTTAATGTTCTGCGTACCTCTCAACTGTTTTTACTTATTTAGTCTAACTTTTATGCATGCTGCACATAACAGTGGTTTGGGGGGGACGGAGTTAGTTAGATCCCTAAAAGACAGTCTAAACAAAAAGTTGGAGTGGATTTATAACATTTACTAAACAGTTAATTTAATACAAGTAATTCATTTTATCAACAACAGTACAACATAATGGCTCTCTGAGGGTTCCTGGATTCCTTTTTGAAAACCACCAAACCCTGATTGTTAGACTAAAAGCATTAGTCATTCATGGGAACAATTCCCATCAGCAGAATTACTTGGGTACTCGAACTTCCCATAATGCCCTGGTCAGGGTCTTATCTATATCTATTTGCTCCAGCTGTCTTTCTTACAACCCCCATACCGGGTTTCCAGAAGGCCTGGCAGAGTTTCAAATTTATCACCTGCTTTACAAATTCCTTTATTGAGATTGTGATCAGTACCCCTAGCTGTGGGAAAATGGGATGTCTGTGGTCATGATTGATGAGGACGCGTGTGCTTCAGCCCCCTCAGCTGCCTGTGGTGGGTGAGATCATCTCATTTCTGTGGTGGAGCACAGATGGACAAGCCGATGCGTTCTACCTGTTCATTAGGGTAACTTGTAAGACTTAAACCCAAAACTGTATCTCATAAATGCATGGTGAATATAATCAGTGTGCAAATTATACAGTGACCAATGCCAACAGACACATTCACATCAATGGCAACAGGACACGTTCTTTTGGTTTTTCAGTACCCTTGTCAGCATCTGTTGCTGTTAGTTGGCGCTTGTTTTCGCTGACTGAACATGTCAGCGTTTGGCGGGTAGTGCAGTTCCTGAGAAGTGGCATACTGTAATCTGGTGATTGTCTGCATTAATCAGCGTCTGTGTGGGTGCAGTGAGAATTAGCAAAATGTCTTTTGGTGCCTGCAGTGTTTCTAGTTAGCCAAACAGTATTCTACAATAAATACAGATTAAGATTTTTAAATGTTTTTGAAAGAAGTCTAAAAAAAACGTAATTATTCCAAACTTTTGACTTATAGTGTATATTTATATATAGAGTATATTATAGATGAATATAAGTGATGTATATGTATGTAAGATTTACAGTATAATGTACTATGTTGCATCTTTGTAGCTCTGTGATCTGATTTACTTGTGATTTAACTTTTTGTGGTTACTTTTGAAAATGTTGTTGAAATATTTATTGAATATTAAGTTTTAGTGACGATCAAATGTATTACTTCTTACTGTTTAGTAAGCCCAACTTTATTGTTATTTGACTTTCTTTTGGGGTTTGAGCCTTAAATGGAGGTGGGACCCTCCAAAAACCCCTGTAATTTCCACCATGAACAGTATTGGATAAGTTATTCTAAGAAAAGTAATTAATTACTAGCTAATTACATCTTAAACAGTTAAATTAGATTACTGTACGGAGATTACTCTCTCCAAAAAGTGTTGCATTACTCATTACCAATTACTTTCCAAATCCCATATCAACCTCGGCCAGTTGAACAATACAAGGATGAAACTGCTCTTTTAATAAATAATATAAAATTGCATAAATTCTTCTTGAAATGATTATTCTCTCTATTTAAAGGGAGAAGGTTACATTTAAAACATACATTTTAACATTAGACGTTAAATTTTGATGTTAAATACACTTGTTTTATATAGAATTGTTTTATAGTCTATACAGTGTTTAAAGCAATTACATCAGAAGTAACTAATTAAATTACAGAAAAATTACTTTACATTTTCAAGGGAAAAGTAATTGAATTACAGTAATTAATTAGTAATGCATTACACCCAACACTCACCATGAATATAAACTAGTCTAAATAATCACAAAGTATAGGGCTGAACCAAAATTATGAAAATGATTATTTTGCTGGAAATTATTACTCTTATTAAATCTTATTCAACTTTTCAGACCAAGAAACACATCTGATCCAGTTGGACTGTCCAAGTACCACAGTCACCAACATGGGCTATGCATAATAGTCTAAAACAATATTACAAATAGATCAGAAACATGCACATCACAATTTTAACAAATGCAAGACAGAACAACTGTAAGGTGTCGTGGTTGCAGCTGGAATCAACAGCTGGGAGAGATCCTTTGTCCCTCAACATTATTCCAATGGTCACTAGAGAGCAACTCCCGTCTCCCAGTGATATTATGTATTAAATTAAATGTCAAATGTAAATTAAAATGTTATTTTTATTTAGTTATTTATGTAGGTGCTTCACAAACCAAATAAGCAAAAGCAGACTCCTGCAATTACGTGAAAGTGCATTTTAAACTGAATTGAATTTAGATTTGTTTAGTCTGCTTGTACACTATACGCTTTAGGGGGGTACAATTTCAAGCGAATGAATCCCAAAGAGGGATGGCAAGCAATTACCAGTCTTCCTGCAATGCATGTGACCAAAGTATTTGTTTGAGGGCAGATACAGAGACTGAAGTTCATTACTGACAAGTCTGCTTGTATTTAGCATAGAAAAAAGTTAATGACGCACAATCTAGATCTGGCAATACAGCCTATTAAAATTCTGTATAAAACAAATTCATTGCATCGCATTTTACCAATAAACCACTTTATAAACTGCATTCACCCTGGAGAACATGCAGAAGTATCTTGTGTCTTCATAATCTCTGAAAACCCCATCAGTCTCTGCCAGAATGCTGTTAATGGGTGTGGAGTCTTAATGTGGTCAGCTTGCATGTGTGATTTGTGTATTTGTACTTCTTGAGTCGCACTCTGGTTTGGTACATCAATACATCACTGATGTCTGCGCTGGCACGTGTTTGCGTAACTTTATTAACCATGTCAGTTTTAATAAAATCGTTGTGCTAGTTCCAAAAAATGTAGGCCCGATTAAGCCTTCCCTCGCATCTGCAGAAAGCATAACGGTCCAGTGTCTGCAGATCCCATTGTGCTGCTCTTCTTTACTTTTTTCCAGAAAACCCCAACGTTCATTTGTCCACTGATCTGAGAGCGGTCTGGTATCCAGCAGAACCCTGCGTTATGGCCAATGCACAAAGAGAACAGGCATGTCAGAGACAGCTGAACATTTCATTCTGCGTTTTCACAGTCTGCCAAACTTCAACAGCGCTTTAACTTGCACACAGCCTTCTGTCATACATCACCCAGTGCCATGCAGTCCCTACAAAGTAAATATTACAGAACTAGTGTTTTATATTTTATTTTTTAGCATAACTGATATAGAGTGAATGGCATTCTTTGGTTTTCCCAGCATGGGTGTTTCATCAATGAGGAGACATGCAGTTAGCATTGCCCTTTAATGCAGTCCTTATGGCTTTCCACCTCAAAAAACAGAGACATGTCAACTTTCCTGCTCTGTTGGATGTGTATATTGTGGTGAGGAGTGACAAATTTGTTCCTTTGCGCTTCATGGAATGAGCTAATGTCCCTTCATGAGGTCTGGCATCCAAACTGTTTTTTTGATGACACTGTGACATGCTTGTGGCCTTTAGTCTTGTAATATTAAAGTCAATTGAGAGCAGATGATGAAGCTTGGTTTATATTAGTGGTCCATTTGAATGTACACGAATGAGTCCAAAAATGAATCCTGTACTGCATTTTTGGTGTTTTATGTCTTTTAATCCAAATGTATTCTTCAGTTCCTTACTATGTTTCAACCAGTCAAAAATTAAGGTGGTTAGTTTCTTTGTTTTTAGCTGTATTTAACAAAGACTGGGGTTGGTAAGAATGTTTTATGTTTTTGAAAGAAGTATTTTATGCTTTATTTGATCAAAATACAGTAAAAAAAAACAGTAACATTGTGAAATATTTTTTATTTTATTTTAATATATTTTAAAATATTATACCTGTAATGGTAAAGCTGAATTTTCAGCATCATTACTCCGGTCTCCAGTGTCATATGATCCTTCAGAAAACATTCTAATATGCTGATTTGGTGCTCTATGAACATTTCTTTATTATTATCAAAATAACTTATTTGAAAGAAAAGACTTTTATAACATCATAAAAAAATAATCTGTCACTTTTGACCAATTTAATGTGTCCATGCTGAATAAAAGTATTTTGTTTTTAAAACTTTTTTTGCTGACCTCAAACTTTTAAATGGCAATGTCAAATAATATGTAAAAAATGGGTTGCAAACAGCAATTCGTGTTTACATTAAAGTAACTTCCCCAGCTCAGCATAATCAGTTTAATTTCTGAGACATTTTGTATTTTGTGAATATTGTTACATTTTGTTCTAAAGTTTAATTTCTAATATCATTATCTGTGTATTGCATTTCACATATAAAATTTCACCATTAAGAGATCATCATCATCATCTCATTTCACGCCAAATGATTCCCAAGACTCTGCTGTCTTGGAAGATCCCTCTTGCTCTACAGAAAGGTCCAGCCTCTGTGCTGTGAGGAGTGTCTCTCTCAAATGAGAAAGGTGAATTTTGGGGAAACCCAGAGTGAGATATTTCCCTTCACTGGGTTTCCATGCATATGGAAAACCACGCTGGCCAATGTCTGGTTTTCCTGTTCCTTATCATACCCCAGGGAGGGATGTCAACCAAAGATGTGATTGAACTCATTTAGTGTCTCTATAACAAGTTCTCGTTGTTCACAAAACAACACTGAGCATACAACTGATATTTTGGTTTCACACTGAGGTTTCGGGATTGATTTCATTTTTGGACTACAAGTCAGTGACTCTGGAAGGATCCTTGGAATTTTAAGGACAGTATGAATGAATGTGTCTTTGTTACGCTCATGGTGAGAGCATCACACTAACCTCATTCAGATCAGTTCTGCTTACCACTTTGACTAGTCTGCAATTATGATATTGCAAAAACGGAGCAAACTTTAGATTGAATGATCATAGATTTGACTAATGACTCAACAGATGGCTGAGAGATTTATAGCATTTGCCTAATCCATTCACTCTGTGCTATGTAATTTTTTATGGTTAAAAATCCCCCTTTCTCTGCATGCTGTCATACCACGTTTCCTTAACATCTCTTTTTTTGCATTCATCCCTTTAGAGTGCATGAACTGTACTGGTTATGCTGACGTCAAAGAGCGCTTGAGTGTCATTGAAGCTCAGGTAAGATAGAAATGTAGGTAACCTCTTGTGTTAACCAGGCACATTTAAGTTAAGATGGTAAGAGTGTGGTTTTTCTTTTTTAACAGATAATGTTACTGAAAGATGCAGAGGCACCCCCTCTCCCTCTTTCCAGCCAATCACCTGAGAGAACAGCTGATAATGAGGTGGACAGGGCACACCCCTCACCAATAACACCCAATGCCATTGGCCGACCAGGTAAGAAAAAACGATGTACATGTTTTACTATACTGTTCTTTAGGATGCGTAATTTCATATGATATTTATCTGTTTTATTTTATTTTATTATTTATTTGATATATAAATACATAATTAAATCTTAAAATATATAAAATACATACGTATTTATAAATATAAGTTTTAAATATTTTTGTTTTATATTTTATATTGTCTTAATCAGAATTCTATTCCCAGGACCAAAAGGACAACCAGGACCTGTTGGGATCCCAGGTCCCCCTGGTCCTCCTGGACCTTTAGGAAAGATAGGGTTTTCTGGAAAACCTGGTCCTATGGGACCTAGAGGTAAGAACTAGCAAATATTTTCACTTAGCTTCACAGCTCCCCTGGTTACGTCTGATCTCTATAGGACCTCAAGGGCTGCGAGGTCCTCCAGGAGAAAGAGGCCTTCCTGGTCCGCCGGGACCTGCTGCATCCTCTCCCTTCTCCATTAGGGGAGATGTTTTCACTCTAATGGCTAAACAACATGGCGAATGTGAGTACAACAGTCCACATTAAACATGCGGTTCACTGTGTAATGGCATAATTTATGACTTTAAAGGGATAGTTCACCCAAAAATGAAAATTCGGTCATTAATTACTCACCCTCATGTCGTTCCAAACCTGTAAAGCTTTTGTTCATCTTCCGAACACAAATGAAGATCTTTTTAATGAAATCGAAAAGCTTTCTGTTCTTCCATAGACAGCTACGCAACTACCAATTTGATGCTTCAAAAAGTTCATAAAGAGATTGTAAAACTAATCCATATGAATTGAGCAATTTAGTCCAAATCTTCTGAAGAGACTCGATCACTTAACGTGATGAACAGATTTAATTTATGCTTTGATCAGCGGACATAAACGGAAGTTCAACCTAACCTGCTTGACTTGCGAGAACAAACCTCACTGGTTCTTGTGGAAGCTCAAACGTGCTGCGTAATATACGTGAATGGTTCTCACACATCAAGCGAATATGTTTGATCTTCCGTTTACCACAACTGATGTGAGAGTTGATAAATGTTTATAAATAAAATGAATAAATTATGAATAAAATCTTAAATTAAATCTATTCATCATATAAAGCGATCATGTCTCTTCAGAAAATTTAGACTAAACCCCTCAATTCATATGAATTAGTTTTACGATCTCTTTATGAACTTTTTGAAGCGTCAAAGTGGTAGTTGCGTAGCTGTCAATGGAGGGACAGAAAGCTCTCAGATTTCATTAAAAAGATCTGCATTTGTGTTCCGAAGATGAACGAAAGACTTACGGATTTGGAACGACATGAGGGAGAGTAATTAATGACAGAATTTTCACCATTATTAATCAGGGTTAAAGAAAATAAGGAATTGAATACGTAAATGATTTGTAGCAGCAGCAACCTTTCAGATGTTATTCTCAAAATGACCATAAGATGGCAGCATTTGAGTAGGATCTGCTTGGATAAACCTCTCAGAGCTCTGGCTCACTCTAAGAGTCTGGTTGGCTTCTGTCTGTCAGCAGTTAATCAGAGTCATTTGTTAGCTGTCTGTGAGGCAGCATGAATCTGGATAACCCAAAACAGAACCTGAGAAGCAAATCCTACTGAACAGAACAGCGGTACAGCTGCAAGTGAAGTTACATTACATTACATGTTTCAGATGCGGATAGTGACTTTGCTGCCTATCGTGACCTTCAGACTTTCCTTGGTCCCCCCGGGCCCTCCGGCCCTCCTGGTCCGCCAGGTATGCCAGAACATCACAGCAAACAGTTTCACCTGGTATCACCCACCTATTTCATCACACATTTAATCTTCTTCTATCCAAATGTGCATAGGCGTCGATTTCGGTGGGGACGCGCCCCCACCATGTTTCGTCATTAGTCATTTTGTACCCACCACTTTTTTTTTAAAACCTCAAGCTCAATTTAGCCGTTCTGCTGCTGCGCTGGCTACACGCTTCTCTGTTCATATCACTGCAACAACTGTAACATTGGGATACGTTCTAGGTTGGGGAGCGGTGGTTGGCACGCCAAATGGAACTTGTTACTTTGATTGGAATCCACCGTGCGGGAATCGCACATGATTGGGTGATGTCAGTCATCATATATCTGTGCGACACATATTTTTGCTTTTTCAATCTTGTCAAAATTTGTAGTGCAGAAGTTGAGTTGTGTGAAGATATGGTCAATTGTACTGGGAATTAAATCAAAATATTAGCAAAAAGGCATAGCCACACATTTTCCCACTGAACTTCAACACGTAGCCTATGGTAGGCCAGGCCTATTTTCCTTGGGACATTCGAAAACGCTTAACGTGAAAAAGCTTTACGTGGTTTAATGTACCTAAACAACGATCACCAAATTTCTCTCTCGTATTGCTCATCATAACCACTTAATATAACATAAAATATAACCAGAAATTTGGTCATCACTGATCGTCGTTTAGGTACATTTAACCGTTAAGCTTTTTCCTACAATAGCCTCAATGAAACAGAAACGCTTAATAACGTCCATAATAATTGGACTTTGGGTTAGATTTTTTGACAGTTTTCAGTGGTTATGAGGAGCAATATGAGAGAGAAATTTGGTGATCGTTGTTTAGGTACATTAAACCACGTAAAGCTTTTTCACGTTAGGACTTATATATAAAGCCCATGAGAACCGTGGGGAGTCAACCCACAGCCGCTCCGCTGGCCGCTGCCCTGCTGAAAATGTGAAGCAGAAACGCTTAATGTCAGATAACGTCCATAATAATTGGACTTTGGGTTCGATTTTTTTGACAGTTTTCAGTGGTTATGAGGAGCAATATGAGAGAGAAATTTGGTAATCATTGTTTAGGTACATTAAACCACGTCATGTCATATTGTCAACATGGTACTTATGAAGCAGAATAGTGAGTCATATGACTAATGCTATTTGAAAACTTAAGGCTTTCTTCTTCATAAAACGAGTCGGACATCATCACATTTTTGTATGCATTTTTATTTATTTACATTAGTAAGCTACAGGACATCGTCTTTCAAAACATGACCTGCGAAAGAGAAAAACAAATGAATGCGTCATTGTACCCAGCACTTCTGAAAATGCACTTCCGAATGCGTCTCTATCCCCAGCACATTTCAAACCAAACTGACGCCCATGCATATGTGTTGAACAGGGCCTGCCGGACCATCTGGACACCCAGGTGCCCCGGGGAAAAATGTAAGGCATTTTTATCATTATGGAATGTGTTTAGAATATATTTTAGGATAAATAGAAAGAATTAAGAATATATTTAGTGTTCTTGCAGATTATACATGAAATGTGCTCTAACATAGTAAGCATTTACAGTTTGTATGAGGAAAGAAATAATTGAACAATACATATGGATATTTAAGGCACAGTGTACTTATTATTTCACTTTCATCATAGGCTGCCTTAAGCTTTCCAGGCACACCAGGTGACAGGGGACCCAAAGGAGATCCAGGAGAAAGAGTGAGTCATCAATAAAGACCTACATTTAGATAGAAATTACATCTTAATCTTATACATTTTTCATTTTAGATAAAAATGTAATCTTTTTTATTTGGGCTAATTAGATTGTATCACTCTATTTTCAAAGGGTCCACTTGGAATAACAGGAAAGCAAGGGCAGCCTGTGAGTGCACATACTGGATTGCATTTATATTTATAACAATTATTTATTTATTTATTTATTTTATTATAATTTTTAATCAATTCATAAATCAATGAATTTATTTTGCAATGCATTTCAGTTTTATAATTAAGATAATTAAATGTAATTAAAAATAGTTTTTTATTTAAAAAAAAAAAATATACACTCACCGGCCACTTTATTAGGTACCCCATGCTAGTAACGGGTTGGACCCCCTTTTGCCTTCAGAACTGCCTCAATTCTTCGTGGCATAGATTCAACAAGGTGCTGGAAGCATTCCTCAGGAAGTTTGGTCCATATTGACATGATGGCATCACACAGTTGCCGCAGATTTGTCGGCTGCACATCCATGATGCGAATCTCCCGTTCCACCACATCCCAAAGATGCTCTATTGGGTTGAGATCTGGTGACTGTGGAGGCCATTTTAGTACAGTGAACTCATTGTCATGTTCAAGAAACCAATTTGAAATGATTAGAGCTTTGTGACATGGTGGAAGTAGCCATCAGAGGATGGGTACATGGTGGCCATAAAGGGATGGACATGGTCAGAAACAATGCTCAGGTAGGCCGTGGCATTTAAACGATGCCCAATTGGCACTAAGGGGCCTAAAGTGTGCCAGGAAAACATCCCCCACACCATTACACCACCACCACCAGCCTGCACAGTGGTAACAAGGCATGATGGTTCCATGTTCTCATTCTGTTTACGCCAAATTCTGACTCTAACATCTGAATGTCTCAACAGAAATCGAGACTCATCAGACCAGGCAACATTTTTCCAGTCTTCAACTGTTCAATTTTGGTGAGCTCTTGCAAATTGTAGCCTCTTTTTCCTATTTGTAGTGGAGATGAGTGGTACCCGGTGGAGTCTTCTGCTGTTGTAGCCCATCCGCCTCAAGGTTGTGCGTGTTGTGGCTTCACAAATGCTTTGCTGCATACCTCGGTTGTAACGAGTGGTTATTTCAGTCACTGTTGCCCTTCTATCAGCTCGAACCAGTCTGGCCATTCTCCTCTGACCTCTGGCATCAACAAGGCATTTCCGCCCACAGAACTGCCGCTCACTGGATGTTTTTTCTTTTTCGGACCATTCTCTGTAAACCCTAGAGATGGTTGTGCGTGAAAATCCCAGTAGATTAGCAGTTTCTGAAATACTCAGACCAGCCCTTCTGGCACCAACAATCATGCCACGTTCAAAGTCACTCAAATCACCTTTCTTCCCCATACTGATGCTCGGTTTGAACTGCAGGAGATTGTCTTGACCATGTCTACATGCCTAAATGCACTGAGTTGCCGCCATGTGATTGGCTGCTTAGAAATTAAGTGTTAACGAGCAGTTGGACAGGTGTACCTAATAAAGTGGCCGGTGAGTGTATATATATATATATATACATGTATATAAAATTCATTTTGTGAGCAGGGTGTTCCAGGTCCTAAAGGTGAGCCGGGAGAGACTCCAGGAGAGGTAAGGATGATGCACAAATAAATTGGATAGTTTTGAAGTTTTGTATGTGTAGTTATGATGATTTATTGTCACATGCTAAAGCTCAGCCTTCTTGCAGGTGCAGCAGTTGAGGGAAGCGCTGAAGATTTTAGCCGAGAGGGTTCTCATTCTAGAACACATGATCGGCATTCATGGTGAGATTAATATTATTGATTAATATTAATCTAGATTTCCAGTTATAAGTTATAACTAGACTCAGTTGGATTCCAGAGCGTCATTTGTATCTCATGGCATAAGCTGTTAGCTGCCAGAGAGGTTAGGATCTGCAGTGATTGTTTAGTAATGACTTTAAGGTTGCATGAGGATGAATTGCTTTTAAGGATAAAATTGACATCAGAGGACCATAAATATATAGCCAACTATTTATTTTTAGACACATGAATGGTTATGCAACTTCATTTTTGTTTCTTTCCCGCTCTGCCCAGATACTCTGTTGGACTCTGGTTCTGGAATAGATCTCCTGGCAGACTTCATGCTAACAGGCAGTGCTAAAAGTGTTAGTGCTGGCAGACCCTCCTCTCCTGTTACCTCGGACAGAGAGTAGCCGGACTCTGTTGGGTATGAAGAGTGAATAACAAACACTTGTGACCACAAGACCTTTTATCTCCTGTCTGTTGTTCTGAAGGACAGATCACTCAATGTATATGTTGATGAGTATAATGAAAGTGGCACTGATCTTTTCTATTTGATTTACTTTATGTATTTTATGTTTAATGGTAATATTCTGTCTGAAAACCATTTTCATTCCCATTTATAATCCATTCATCTTATGTAATGTGATGTATTTCAAGGGCGGGCCTTTATTTTATCCATCAGGAATTGATTGAATGTTGAAAAGTGGGCATTACTTACAGAATAGAGCCTGAATGTGAGTTTGCTAAAATGATGACTAACTAGCTATTTTGCTATTGGTTAGAAGTATCCAAGTGATGTCAGCAGAAAAAAAAGTTATTTTATAGTAAGAGCAAGTTATTAGATCTTGATTAAAGATTATAAAAACTAAGACTGAATAACATGCACCAATTAATCATCAATAAGAACAGAAACATGCATTAAGAACGTAACTGGAATCAATCTTCAGTGACTTTAAGTGTGTATTTACTGTAGTTTGTTTCTTTTATGATGGTAAAAGTGAGGATTTTGTACTGGCAGGATATCTGGGGTAATTGATTAACATGATGATTTACATGATTAGACAAGCAAAAAATAGCATTCTTTACACTATTCATTTCTTAATGAGCTTTATGTGGCATGAATGATGATTTTATCTAGCTGAAAAATTTGTATTGTCATAGAAAAAATATAGTCATAAAGACTTTCCAGAAAACAAAAAAGGCACAATTTTTCTTGTCAATTCCTTTATGTTTTCTGATCGATGACCTAAGATGACCTCATGCACATACATATATTTATAGAGCTCTCATAGCAGTGGCTTTGTTTGAAAACAATTCAAGTCGCAAAGCTCACAGCAACCGTACAAAATACACTAGAATAGAACTTTAAAACCAAATTTAGCCCTTTGCCTGAATAGAAAGGGCAACGTCTACCGTAATAAATTGTGTTTACACCTCTGCTCACCTGTTCTCATACAGCCTATCATTGACTCGCTGAAAACCCAAAATGGTCTGCACCTAAAACGCACCCAGGTCTGCTATTAATAGGGTTGCAGTGAATAGCCAGAGAGACACAAAAGGCCCTGTTGACCTTGTTCGCAGAGGACCGTTCAACACGCCATTGTGGCTTTAAGCTTATTGTTGCGCTTGAGCTTTTGTAATCCCCTCAGGAGGGAACAAAATCTTTCTGAATCTTGGGCTTTTTCTTGTTGTTGAGTTAAGAAAGAAGCCATGTCTGAAGTGTTTGTTCAAAAAGTTTCCCACAGTAAAACTTTACGTTATTGAGAGCCAGAATCTGATTGTTTGTATTTTGATTTTTGACTTTTTAAATAAAAAATGTATGGGAAACAGCATTTTATGATTTACTTATTTATGGATGGATGGATGGATGGATGGATGGATGGGATTTTAGAGAGTTTAAACCCTCCAACAACAACAGTACTGTACTTAGCATTTTATGATTTACTTATTTATGGATGGATGGATGGATGGATGGATGGATGGGATTTTAGAGAGTTTAAACCCTCCAACAACAACAGTACTTTGGCTTTGTTTTTTTTTAATCTCTTTATTGACAAAAGGCACAGGTACAGAGCTTAAGAGGAAGACAGCACACAAATGAACATGAACAAACATGGAGAGACATGGGAAATGTAGTTTTTACTCCTGCTCCTTATCCTCTCCGTGGGTGATAACGTAGCACAGGTTTTTGTAGTCCAGGTTGCCAGCCACATCCAAGGGGAAGTTTGTGAACATCTGGTTTACCTAGGTACATTTTGTAAAAATGTTCATGATTAAAATGCATTCAACGATTTTTTTTACATATTTTAATATTAAATATAAAATTCATCATCAGCATCTCAGACAAATTGTGCCTTTGCATTTCAGAAGAAAGAAAAGTATATTACCTCAGCTTCAGTAAATTTGTCAGCCTGGGACATAAGGTGATATTTGATCCTGTGAGGAGAAACAAAATAAATATATTATGCATTTCAAGGAGACTTTGGACTTTAAAGTCAGTGATGTGCTGAAAGGTTTTACATTTCCGTAAATTTACTTACTCTTCTCCTTTAAGGATTCCTGTGCCCTCTTGGTCGAAGATCTTAAAGGCATTGAGAATAGTCTCCTCGGGGTCTGTACCTGTCAGTCACAGAAAGGTAACAGATTATAGATTATTCTGTAACTATAATGAGTCAAATATACTCTTATACATGTCAAAAGGTTAAAGTGATAGTTCACCCAATAATGAAAATTCTGTCATCATTTACTCACCCTCGAGTTGTTCCAAACATGTATGAATTTCTTTCTTCTGTTGAACACAAAAGAAGATATTTTGAAGAATGTTGGTAACCAAACAGTTAACTTCCATAGTATTTTTTTCTCCATACTATGGAAGTCAATGGGGCCCATCAACTGTTTGGTTACCCATATTCTCAAAATATCTTCTTTTGTGTTCAACAGAGATGACATAATTTTCATTATTGGGTGAACTATCCCTTTAACAAAGATACGAGTCATTTTTGGAGAAAGTTACATTCAAAATCTATGCTTCTGATGCTAAACTATACAATTCATATATCAGTATGCAGCATGTCTCATGTCTGCTGGGTTCTGCTGCTATTTACACCTCATTAGCATGATTATCATTTCAATTCTGATAAATTTGATTCTTGCCTTTGAGCTTCTCTCCAAACATGGTGAGGAAGACGGTGAAGTTAATGGGGCCGGAGGCTTCTTTTAGCATCTCATCAAGCTCATCGTTGCCAACATTGAGACGTCCTGCCAAACACGCACATACAGAGATATACATTAATACAGAGTGCCACTTCCTCTGATAGTTCAAATGTAGTGGGAGTAGAACACTACATAGCTCATAGATGTTTAATGCAATAAAATACTAATGAGACCGGATTACAGGGCCAGGGAAAATAATAATTAGGCAAGGTATGTTTCGCTTTACTTTTAAAAGACAAAGTTTTAGAATTTTGAGAGACAAAAATAACAAAATGTACTTGAATTGCTGTGCTGACAGTATGATTTGTAATGAAAAAATATATTTATATTATAAAAAATTATTAAATTAGAAAGATTTTACTGCTGTATATGAATTTATCAATGGTTTCATAGAATGGTTTTGCATCTAAATCTGTCAAACAGTAATCACATTTAGGCTTCACAACATTCAGTAGGGGGCTAAAGAGGAGCCACTGTAACCCTTAGAACAATACTCTTGTTGGTTTAAAAGGATAAACACCTTTAAGTATCTCCAGTATTTACACTATATACAGGCATTTAGTGAGGCTTCACACACCCAGAGCAGCAAATGTGTCCCTCAGGTCGTTTTTGTCAATAAAGCCATCTCTGTTCTGGTCCATGATGGTGAAAGCCTAGAGAAGCATTCAGATTTACAGAGGTAAGTACCAAAAATATGCTAAAATAAAATGTTTAAGTAAGTGAATCCTAGAAATGACCCACCTCTTTAAACTCCTGGATCTGTGACTGCTCAAACATGCTAAACACATTGGAGCTGGCAGCTTCCTTCTTCTTGGCCTTCTTTGGTGCCTGGGATTCAGAGCAAAAACAATTTAGATGTTTTTTTTCCCCCTGTCTATTTAAATGTAATTTTGAAGCACATAAAACTTAAAAATTCGTGCAAAAATGACATGACCCGCAAAGACGTTTGCTATAATACATTTTAACCGCTCTACGGCACAAAATGAACTCTGCCGAGTTTGACATTGAGAGCTGTCAAAATGTGGCCCTATTCAAGTACATCATGAATTTAGTTGCATTTAGTCCGAAATGCTACAAATTAAACACAAATAGGCTATATATTGACTTCTGGAACAGTTACTCACTGAGAAGCTTCCTGAAATTTAAAGAAAAAAAAAGTTGCTCTCGGAACAATGATCAAGGTTCATGAAAATGGCCCTTTTTAAAAGATATAGAAAGAAATACATGTACAAAACCTTCCATTGCATGTACTTTCTAACATAAAATACAATATTCTCTCAGTTAGAAGATCAACACCACTCAGTTTCACCACCATTTCCATGTTAAGATAGGACGAAGCAAAGAGACACGGTCCTACCATTGTGAAGAGCTTCTCTTTACTCTGTTCTTGGTCTCAAAAGCCTGAGGGACACTCAAACATCGTCGGTTTCCAGCTATATATTGGCACAATTGGCTTGACGGCCCACCTGTTCTATGTTTAGACAAAGGAGGAGGCACAACAGAAGAATACTTGCCATATAGAGAATCACCAACCCTACCACCCCCCAGTTATTGTTACGGACAGATGCTGATATGATCAGAGTGTGTGGGCTTTGCTATCTTAGGATCATTGGAAGCACCCTAACCCCCTAAGACTCTACTACACGCCTAATGTGTCGTTTAAAGACCGTGTGAAGCCGGCTAGCTTCTCACATCAGTGTGTTTGGTCAGATGTTGACGCAATGTCTCCGCTACATGGATTACTTTAATTATTTGATGTCCTTGTTACATTGGTGATCAGTATAGACACTTTTGACCAGCTTACAAGACACAGTTAGGAGGCTTAAAGCACAGACATGCAGGTCTAACTTGAGTGTATTCGATGAGAATCAAACATTCTGGAGAGATGAATCCGAGAAACATTTATTTATACTTTTTAGACTTAGATGCTTAAATGGATGCAACAGCAGACAACATGCATCTGTTACGTAGTGCATTGTATTTTTATCACTTATTCTTCACAGATTTTATATTCATTGCAGCTATCTACTTTTTTTATTCTGCTCAGTTACACACTTTTTTTGTACTATTGATTGTGTTATATTTTGTACAGTCTTTGTATAGGGGAGAATGGGGCTAGTTGTCACACTTTTAACTCTGTTGATTTATTTTAAACGTTTATTATATATATATATATTTTTTAAACATCTGCTTTGGTCTACATTGTTATTAACTGAAACTAAAACTGCAACTAAAAAAACATAAAAAAAAGTG